TTGGATGTAGGATGTGTACTAATTGATAATTTAGTCTTAGATGCATGATTTTTTTAATTAGTTGGACTAGCTGTCAGTAACTGCGAGTACTCTCAGATCTGTACTTTGTGTCTATTTGTTGTTGGGATATACAAGTACCCGGCCACAGCCACTCTGTGTAGTATTTCTGTTTGTATCCATCTGATGAGTTTAGCCTTTTTCAACTGATTTTTATAGTTCGTTCTTATGTTGTACTGTTACACCACTGTCCCAGGTTAGGGGGAGGGTTGGGATCCCGCTAACATGTTTAACCCCGCCACATTCTGTATGTACTAGTATGTGCCTGTCCCAAGTCAGGTGCCTGCACTACAGTGGTTATCGTTTGTTGATGTGTCAGTTACATATTTGTTTTTCGTTCATTTTTTGTACATAAATTAGGCCGTTAGTTTTCTCGTTTGAATTGTTTTACATTTGTCATTTCGGGGCCTTTTATAGCTGACTATGCGGTATGGGCTTTACTCATTGTTGAAGGCCGTACGGTGACCTATAGTTGTTAATTTCTGTGTCATTTGGTCTCTTGTGGAGAGTTGTCTCATAGGCAATCATACCACATCTTCTTTTTTATATTTATAATTAGATCAAGTAAGTATCTCTCGCGGGAGAGTTACACTTATTGATGATTGGTCGGTAACGAACATTAATGTGTCCTGTTAGCTGACCAGTTCGCAATGCCTCATTACTTATTTCTAGATTAATTTTATGATTTTTTGGAAGAAGGTACATGTGTCCTCCATGTTTTGAATTATTATTATTCTTTAAGAAATTATACGTCTTGGAATCTTTTTTTTTCTCCCCTTGCTTTATATTTAACACTTCTCTCAACCAAAATTGTAATGATTTACAACAAAAAGAAAATATTATCCTCCACACACATGGCCAAGATAACACTGATATATAATTTCTTATTCAGTTGAATTAATAATTAGAATAAAAAAGTTCTAAGGTTCACGTATTGTCTTTTTTTTTTAAAAAAGCAATTTGTCTTTATTTTTTTTATTGTTTTGCCAAAAATGAATAAATTGGTAAAAATCATGATTAAAGGGCAAAGGCCATTAACTCTATCTATTATAGTTTTTAATATGAAAGACTAAAAATTGGTAAAAATCGTCATTAAAAAGCAATAACTCAAATAAGGATTTGCCGAATAATTTCCACAATATTTACTTTATTTATAGATCCTGCCAAGCAGACAATTTTGGCCTTTCAAAGTCTTTCTCTGTCTATTACAGTTTTCAAGATTATAAGTAAAATTCAAAGAAAATTGGTAAAGTTGCTATTTACATGGAAAGCAATAACTCCTAGGAGTCAACTGAAGATTTCAGCAATGTGAACTTATTTGATGATCTTGTTCGAACCCCCCCTTCTTTCAATTTTTCTTTAATAAAATATTTGAATGTTTCATGGTGTTCTGGGGTTTGGAACCCCCTTTTTCAAAATGGCTTGATCTGCTCCTGAGCAACTATAGATCATGGTACAGCTTCAACAATGAGCAAAACCAATAAAATTACTATATTCTTATAAAACTAAGAAGATGTGGTATGATTGCCAATGAGACAACTATCCACTACCACTAAATTACAGGCTCCTAACGTGGGACACTCCGACAAGAATGTGGTGCGATAAGCATGTGTATGTGTTTTTAACTCTCCCCTAAACCTGGGACAGGGGTACAAGTCAAATCGACCCCTGAAAGTGTGAAATCGGCATCTAGTCAAATCGGCATATATTTAAAGTCATTTTGGCACCTTATATTATTTTCTTTCTTTTGATTGCATACATCGTTAAAAATTCAGCAAATGTAGCCTTAAGCAGTTAGAATACACAATAAAAAAAAAATAGGTTTGTTGTTTTAAGTTTCCCAATATTCTCTTAATAATGTTTTGATTGGTTTTCATTTTAAAAATGTATGAACTTATACCATTTATAAATATAATCCTTTTGTTGCTTAAACTGATTTGTTTAAAATGAATAACGTTGGCATCAATTTTTGTATGTCTACTAGCAATGTGCAGTATACTATCCAGATCCGTATAGTGAACAGGCATTTATACCGACTTGTATAGTATACTGCCCATTGCTAATAAACATACAAATCTTGGTGCCAACGTAAATTATTTAATACAAATAGACAGGAAATACAAAAAAGCTATTTAACTTACATGACTTAATTAAAGTGTGTATATCCGCTTACCGAGTTCCTGTGGTTTAATCCTGTGAAAATTAGAAGTAATAAAAGGCCAAACTGACTCACTGGCATCTAGTGAAAATAGTTTTTTAAAAAAATATGGGAAAAAAACGGAGTATTTTATTCACAAGACATCATGTTCACCATGGGTAACTCTTGGGTGCCGAATTAACCAGGTCCGGATTTGACCTGGTGCTGAAGTGACATGAATCAAAGTCGCCTGAAGATTTCATAATTATAGCAAAAAAATGGGGGAAATAAAATATTTTTAGTAGTATTATAATACTAAAAATATTTTATTTCCCCCATTTTTTCGCTATAATTTTTAAGTTTTGTTAATTTAAAGTAAGTACTTTCTATTTTAATTGAAATTTAGAAAACTGATGGAAACTGAATGCCAGAAATAGTTTTGAATTGACAGATACTTTTCCGTGAAGTATAAGTGCAATAATTTCCAATAAAACGGACTGGAAGTGGGTGTACGGTATTACCCTACAGGATATTTTAAATACAAATGGAAGGAGTCTAATATCGTACATGTCAGCTCTTAAATATGTTAATGTTCATTAAGTGATATAAATTTTGACTTAGCTTTGCTTATATCAATGATTTTTGTTAAATAATCAAATTAATTGCAAAATAAAATAAACAGAAAAAAATGCATAAAACAACATCAATTCGATATGAGAAGAAAGAGGTAAAAAATGTTAATTTTGATTCTATAAACCACCAGTCCGCTGCCAATTGATTTATAGAGATAGACGTTGACGTGTTTGCAAACTATTCCTCCTTAATTGCGAGGGTCCTCTGTGCCCCAGTGGTCTAAGTAGTCAGTCATCTCATATATCCCTAGCCAGTCAACACTAAGGTTGTGACTTCAAACCCCGCACATGCTTGGTAGGTGTGTTCGAATATTAGTTGACTAGGATTGTCAGTTTTCCTCCCGAACAATAAAACATAAAAATCTTTACCACAAAAAGTTCGCAAACAGCAATGAAAGATGTTAAATATAGACGTTATTAAGAAAATGTTCCATGAAATGCTGCTGGAACAATTGAAGATGATGCTTTAATTCAGGAAGACCAACCGACTTAGAATTAGTAAAAACTGCTGCAGCCTCTCAGCTTACAATGCTGTACTTGATCGTAAAGACCGGTTTGCTCAGAGTTAGAATTCTTTTCTGAATAGATTGACATGTCTTTCTTCGGACTGAACTAGGACGATAAAAACTGGATGAAGGTATCTGTCTATATAATACAAATCAGGGTCTATATTCATATCGCTTATCAAACTTAAGTCATGCATATCACATATACTGTCAAGTTCTCATCTTGATGTCCATGTATTATTTGCAACTGAACGTTACAGTGTGTGTGTGTGTGTGTAACGTTACTGTCTGAAACACAAGTCCGTCATAATCATATCTAAATTCGTACTAATAATTTTTTGAAGCTTTAATACAAACACAAATCTAAGGACACTTGCTTTTTGGTCCTTCTTTTGCAATTTTGTGCATCTATACTCAATTTTGCCAATATATAATCAAAATAGCAGTTGACTGAGATATCTTTTGACTGTTTATTATGTTGTATTCTGTGATCAAATATACTGCCAGAATCTACATCACGACATGAAGCTGTGATACTGTGAATTTAAGTAAAGATTGAAAGACTTGAAGATGATCCTGGTAATAAATTTATTAGTCCAAGTTATTTCCAAATAGCAATCCTTTTTTGAATTTAATCAAGGTACAGAATTACACATCAAGGTGTACGGAAATACACGACATCCGTACGATATTAGCCACAGTGACTTTTCTGTTCGATATGCTCATTCTCGGTATTTTACGTTGAATGCCAAGGAAAAAGTCAAACATTAATACTATCTACGAATGATCTAGTTACCGGTTTCCTTCTAAAATATTGTAGTATCAAACAGGGAACCAAATGAGATTCATTTCGGACCTAAAGTATACGGAATTACACGGACCGACTCTATCACTTTTCCTAAGTGGCGTCAGACATTTTCTTTTATGACGTCAACATTTTAAAGGAACCTTTGAGATGTCCAGTAATTGTGTAGACAAATAGCAATAAGGTGTATTCTGGGACAGGGGGGTTATAGAACAAAATAAGAACAAACTAACATTAGTTAGGGAGGTCTTGCCTCAACAGATCAGCATATATATGAAGCTTGAAAAAAAACAGGAGAAAAGGCAAATGAAATGAAATAGCCTCCCAAACCTCCTTGTGACTAGGGTTGTCATGTATATATATGTGAACATTATCCAGTTATCATGATTAACAATTTCTCAGATTTCTTTTCAGTACGACAGTAGGCCTATTAAATGCATGATAACAGACATGATCTATATCCTTAATCATTATGTTTAAGTTTACCCTTCACACAAACTCCTTTTCAAGAAGTCACTTACTCTAAAATTGTCCCTAAAGAGAGCCATGTCACTTTCTTTCCATTTTATCAATATATGATTCTTGTAAAATACCTATCCAGTTATTCAAAGTGTCAAGGTCAACAAATTCTGCAGTCAATTATTTTATTAAAAAAAAAATCCTCAAAGGAATCACTTAAATTTGCTATTTCATGCTGTCATATTTTTTTCTTATATGTCTTCGAGCTTGTATGATAGTGCATTTTAACAATAAAACGTGGTTTCGCTTAAAAAAAACCCATCTGGGCCTTTTTTTTCTCTCCTTTACTCCTTCTTAAAAAATTTCTGGGTAACCAGTCTAAGCACTTTATGAGACTGGTTTGGTGTCCAAATCCCATTCCTATTAGCAGACTCTATTCATGAAAAACATAAGAGGACCAGTCTAATATTCACATGGCGTTGAAAATGGCCGATCAAGAGTAAGTTACATGTGGAAACGAAAGAAAACATGAAAACATGACCGCTTACCAATGATAATTTGAATTGAAGAATTTATATCATTATATATTCACCATATTTTGTGGCATAATTCATTTGAATTATTAATAGTGGCATCTGACCCACATGATTTTAAAAATGCAGTTTCATACTGAAGACAATTTATAGAAGATTCCAGAAACATATATAAAGCCCAGCGGAAATACTTATAGTTGTACTTTCAATTTATGAATGCTTGTTCTTAAAAAAGAAATAGAAATGAATTTAAAATACATGCTTACACCAGTTATCTCCCGAATCAATCACTTTTCGGAGCGGATCCAGGATTTTCAAAAAGGGGGGCACCGGGTTAGCCAACGTTGGGAGTGATAATTTTTAAAAGTCTATGCATTGTCTTCAATCTTTGTCGTGATGGCAGGGTAATCTCTCTTGTGAATTATTCTCTCTTGTGAAATTATAGTCACTTATGAAGTTTCTCCGTTGTACTGTCGTAGGTGGCGCTTTATTAATAAAGGGAAACAAAATAATAATAAAAAAGTATTTAGAAAAAATTAAAATTTAAAAAATTGTATAATCAGGTAATTGAATTGACATGAAAAAAATGAAAAGAATGCATTGATCTCATATGAAGCTTTATAAGGGGGCTGGCCCCTTAATCCGCCTCTGCTTTTTGAGTTTCAGAATTTTTTTATTCAATAGACAACTATGGCCGGTTGAAAAGGTGAATATATCCAAAATTGTCAACCCTAAAAGGATATATTCCTGAACGTGCAAATTGAAGTGAACTAACATTTTAGAATTGACCATTGACTTGCGTTAGAAAATTATTTTGTATCTTAAGGATTTCTTATACAGTAAAGGTAGACTCTGTTTGTAAAATATTGATGGCCCTGACAAGGGCTGTTTATAAGGGATAGCATTGGCACTGGATGAATTTCCAAGCATTATTTCCTTGTCACTCGATGGCTTTAAACCTGACATTGCCATTTTGTTTATATACGTCTGTGACATCATTTATTGGATGATAAGTCCTGTACAAATCAAGAAGCTGAAAAGGTCAATGACTGGTGAATAATTAGGTTATTCATTGCTTTTAATTAGAATTTAACTGAATAAGTCCATGTCACTTGGGTATGTGTTCATTGTGTTGCCTGATAGATATGTTAATCATATGTAAGGTATAATTATAGGAGTTATTTTGTATACTAGTCCATTTCATAACCCTTAAAAGGTAATCAGTTGATAAGCATGATCATGCTGATAGGCTTGCTAAGAATTATGAAGGTATTTTATTAGCATGATTAGTGTTGTTCCATGTAAATGTATGGGTGGATGGGATGCTCTTTATTTTTACACCACCATGCGTAAAAATTTGGCATTGATCATTTCCTCTAATTGTTCGGACTATCTTTATGAAATAACCACTTTCCATCAAATTTTAATAGAGTGCCTCCCATGCCCCCATTCAATTCATTTTGAAACAAAACTGAAATAAAATAATTTAGGCAGTTTTTGCCAAGAGACAACTGAAAAGACTATACTATTGTAAACACAATGACCTTGTGAATGCAATGCCTGGTACATGTCCCATTTTCTATTATTAGGATTGTTTTTCATGACATGTAGCTATATAGTTGACCATACTACAATGTTTACCATCATTTTGGTTTTAAACATTCTGAGAGTTATTGGACTTGGACCTTTTTCTTATCCTCTGCCTATTACAACATATTCAGAAGCCGATGACAGTGTCATAAATGTACAGTATGTGACAGAATTGAATCTTGACTGTCATTATGTTCACTTGACCATACCTGAGTACTGCCATATAAGTTTGATTACTTACATATGTATGTGTTGGTATGATGGGACTATTTCAGAAGGATTATGTTTCCATTGAAACACTATGAATTGCATGGATAATAACAAGCTCCAAACTGTAAAGATAATGTAATATGTGTAGCTGGTGTATGTTTGACTATGAGATGGAAACTCAATGACACAATTGCATTAAAAAAACAAACATGACCATGTCAACATTCTGTGATTCATGTGTATGTACATGTATAATGTTGAATGATTTATTTTTTCAGACAAGCATTACATACACCCATGGAATGGGCACAACGAAAAGATAGGGTGTTACTGACCATTGTTTTAGAAGATTGTAAAAAACCAAACATAGAAATAACAGACACAGGTTTACACTTCAAGTTAGTATTTTCACGATTAAACTACTCCTGAAATCAGTTTTTGTGAACTTTCTTTGTGACTCTCATTTAGGACTTAATCAGTCAGTTGATAAGAACAAACTCCTGGTGATGTGATTTCAATATACATGTATATATTTTACCCCCACTAAGCAGTGTTCTTCCAGGGATATTTTGATAGCTCTGTGGTAGCAAACAATTTCAGGGATTGAAATTAAAATTTACCAGTTGTAGCCCAGCCATTGTAATTGTTGGCCCAGTGTTATTTGATCAATAAAAAATATGGAAAAATTTAGTAGCTCAGCAATTGGCTACTGGAACCCTGCGAAAGACTTATTCATGTTTTGGGTTACAATGTGATGTTACATTTGTAATTGATCAGGTTTAAGCTTTTGGTTTAGGTCTGTATGAATGCATGAGAAATTAAAAACATTTTGTATGTGAATTCACTACATGTAGATGAACATGTGCAAGGCTTCACTTTACAAATGTACCTTGACCTCAGTTTCAGAGATCATTGGTCTATGAAATAATTAATGTACAAAGGTATAACAATATGCAAGCCATCTTACATTTAGTGTGTGAAATTTTGTTTTGATAAGTGTACTTCATACGTACTTATCAAGTCAATAAACAGTAGCATATTTCTATTTCAGAGGCAAAGGAGGAACAGAAAATAAACTACATGAAGCAAAAATAGAATTTTTCAAAGAAATAGATAGCAAAGTAAGAAAATATCAGTCTATAGCATCTTTAAGTTAAATCTGGTGTTCTAGCAAAACTAACATGATTTAAACAGTTTCATTATAGATTTTTATGCCCCCGCCGCAGAGGAGGGAGCATTAAGTTTTACCCTTGTCCGTCTTTATGTCCCAAAATTGGTGCTGTTCTCTAACTTTAGTTTGTCTCAACCAAATGTTATGAAACTTATACACAATACTTATACCATAAGGCACAGATCAAGTTCGAATTTGGGTGGCATCACTCAAGTTCTCTAGTTATGTCCCTTTATAATGTTATTTGCAAGCAGGAGCATCATCATGGGACACATTCTCCATTTATTTAAACAATTTCTGCATAGGAGAAAAAGTGCCTAGTGTCATAGTTTATGGAGAAACAGGAAAACATTCATTGGTTGTTCCATTCAAAGATAAGGATATATTTTATTGGTGTTATTGAATAATCTACTAGTCAAGGTAAAGTGAAATTGTGGTGAATTGTTTATATCTATTGACATGAGCTCCCTTTCGATTTTTATAAATTTTAGATTTTACGTTTCCGAGTTACAGGGTTTTATTCATAAAAAAAGGGGGGATTTTCCAGTTTTCGGACAAAAACTCAAAAATGCTTTCAGCAATTCTTATGAAACTTTGGTGAATTGTTTGTATGTATTGATGTAAGCTCCCTTTAGAATTTTATAAATTTTACATTTTACATTTCTGAGTTATGGGGTTTTATTCATTAAAAAAAGGGGTGATTTTTATACGACCGCAAAAAAATTTTTGTGGTCGTATATTGGTATGACGTTGGCGTCGGCGGCGTCGTCGTCGTCGTCGTCCGGCGTCGTCGTCGTCCGGCGTCGTCGTCCGAATACACATTAGTTTTCGCACTCTAACTTTAGTTTGAGTGAATGGATCTCAATGAAATTTTACCATAAGGTTCACTACCACAAAAGGAAGGTGGGGATTGATTTTGGGGGTTATGGTACTAACAGTTAAGGAATTAGGGGCCAAAAGGGGCCAAAAATAAGCATTTTTGTAACTTCCAGACATAACTTGTGTGTAAATGTATGGATCTCTCTGACATTGTACCACAAGGTTCCATATCACAAAGGGAATGCTGGGATTGATATTGGGGGTAATTGCCTCCAAATTTTAGGAATTAGGGGCCAAAAAGGGGCAAAAAACAAGCATTTTTCTAGTTTCATGACAATATCTTGTTTGTAAGTGTATGGATCTTTATGAAATTGTACTACAAGGTTCCATATCACAAAGGGAATACTGGGATTGATTTTTGGGGTAATTTCCTCCAAATTTTAGGAATTAGGGGCCAAAAAGGGGCAAAAAACAAGCATTTTTCTAGTTTCATGACAATAACTTGTTTGTAAGTGTATGGATCTTTATGAAATTGTACTACAAGGTTCCATATCACAAAGGGAAGGCTGGGATTTATTTTGGGGGTTTTCCCTCAAAATTTTAGTAATTAAGGGCCATAAAAGGGCAAAAAAAACATGCATTTTTCTAGTTTCAGGACAATAACTTGTGTGTAAGTGTATGGATCTTTATGAAATTGTACTGCAAGGTTCCATATCACAAAGGGAAAGCTGGAATTGAGTTTGGGGGTAATTGCCCTAAACGTTTAGGAATTTGGGGCCAAAAAGGGGCCAAAAAACAAGCATTTTTCTAGTTTCCAGACAATAACTTGTGTTCAAGTGTATGAATCTCTCTGAAATTGTACTGCAAGGTACCATACCACAAAGGGAAAGCTGGGATAGAGTTTGGGGGTGATGAAGCATAAGGGGGTTCAAAAAATTGGGGGGAGGATTTTTTTTCCCTTTTTTTTCTTTAACATTTTCCATTTTAAATTGGTTATTTCTGATTTATATATAAAAGCAAATAATAATGATATGGTTTGAATAGGCATACATGTGAACCTCCCGACGGGAGTACAATAATCCCGTTTTCAGGGGTCTCCTCCCGACCTCCCGTTGAAGAGGAGAAATCCCGTGTATGAAATTTTTCATGAATGAAAAATTTCTGCCCAACATATCATCTCAGGCATCTGGTGTAACTGACATTACCTGAAGTTATATTTTACCTGTAAATCAATTAACATGCATAATTATATGGCTTCACTTGTCAGCTTGGGTGTCAAACATACAGGTAATCAACGATTTTTACCTCAGGCTAACTGCCGTTGTGTAACAAAAACTGTGTATTTATTGGGTTACTTCCCTTGATTTATCCTGTTTTAAGTTACTTTCCTTTTAATAATGAAAATTTTTAAAAGAATATAAATAAAATATAAATTGAACAAATAATCATAAAAGGATGGTTATTAAATGATTTTAAATGTCTTAGGACAAATAAAAAAATAATAATTTGAAAATTATTTGAGGATTCTATACTTCCTTTCAAGGCTTAAATTGAAATCTATATAATAATTATGACCCTAATTTTACAGATAAAATGATTTTCTGAGTTTGCAAATAAAAACTATTTGCAAGAGAAAAAAAAAAAAATAAAAACTATTTGCAGATAGCTAAACAAATGTTCTGGTTGCAATGATTGTTTTATAGAATATGAAGTAAAAAATTTAAAGAACATACTGGAAAAAAACAATGTTAGATTGAACATGTAGAATATAAAGATGGAGAAACTTTATAAGTACAAGGGTTCTATTAACATAATAAATTGGATGGAAAGTTGAAGAAAACACACTTTAAAAGACCATTTTTACAGCACACGGTTACATTTACAACAAAATTAATGTCGATTAAAAACCTCCTGATCTGAGTCCTAATCTCCTGACCAAAATTTCCCAATCTCCTGATCTGAGTTTCACAGTCCATCACATGTATGAATAGGTAAATTGAAAATTTTTAAGTTCTTAGACCACTTTCATTCTGTGTCAGAAACCTATGCTGTGTCAAATATTTAATTACAATCCAAATTCAGTGCTGTATCAAGCTTGAATGTTGTGTCCATACTTGCCCCAACTGTTCAGGGTTCGACCTCTGCGGTCGTATCAAGCTGCGCCCCAGCGGAGCATTTTATTCAGTTTTCGGACAATAACTCAAAAATGCTGTCACCAATTCTCATGAAACTTTGGTGAATTGTTTATATCTATTGATGTAAGCTCCCTTTTTATTTTCATAAATTTCTAATATGACATTGAGAATTAATTGAACTTTATTTGTTTATAGTTTGACAACAGATTTACTAAGCATTGCACAACAGCAAGAAATCTTTAATTGAATATAAATTCAATTCATATAACCAATTTCAAGTTCTTTGACTACATTTATTCAGAAACCTATAATATGTCAAATATTAAATTACAATCCAAATTCAGACCTGAATCAAGCTTGAATATTGTGTCCATTTTTGCCCCAACTGTTCAGGGTTGGACCTCTGCGGGCATATCTAGCTGTGCTCAGCGAAGCCGTTTATTAAATTTTGGTAAGGATTATATGTATATCCTTTTTTTAGAGAGTAGGATATATGAGCAAATTTTACATATTTCACAAGTATTTTTTTTTTGTCTTGCAGGAATCAAAGTATGCAGTTTTACCTAGACATATATCATTGATTTTAAAAAAGAAAGATGCCACAGAAGAACATTTTTGGCCAAGATTATTAAAAGAAAAAACTAAAGTAAGTGTTTGATTTGAATATTAGTTCTACAGATTCTGTCCAGTTAAAATCCAAATGAATGAACTGAGATTTTATCATTATTTTACAAAGGGAGACTTTTAAACAATTGTGTTCAATTAAACAGGTGAGATGCATTGCAATCAAATAAATTATCTCTCAAAAGCAACAAAATTCTACCTTCCTTTGTGTAATAGCACAAAAACAAGAATGAAAACCCACATTTTCCTACGTTTGCAAATGACAAAAGCAGTTCTAGTAATGGCTCTATTCCATCTGGCATTAAAACCGTGGGTTGAAAACTTTTGTCAAATTTTTGTTGGCTTCTTGGAAAGGGAATTATTTTATATTTGGTCTCCAGCTTGATACTGTTGAGATGAAGTGTGTAAACAATATTTATCTGCCCTGCAGCTGTTTCCTGATTACCAATACTTTCAAATTTTAATCAAATATACTTAGTCTCACAGGTCCAGGGTCTGGGTCTTGTCCTTTTTATTTCGTGAAAGCTCTTGATAGAAATCATGTCCAAAAGTTGTCATGTTTTTTGATATATATAAAAATAAGAAAGTGTGGTATAAATGCCAATGAGACAACTCTCCACAAGAGACCAAGTGTGTTCTTTTTTCACATTTGACACTTTTAGTTGAATAATTCCTAGAAACAAATTTTTGTAAAACAAATTATGAAGAACTGTATGTGTTGATAGATTTGATTATCACTGTTTGTAGGTACATTGGTTACATATATTTGATAATAAATTATGAAGAACTATGTGTTAATAGTGTGTTTATCTCTGATTGTAGGTACATTGGTTAAAGACAGATTTTAATAAATGGAAAGATGAAGATGACTCAGATTATGAAGGAGGAGGAGAAGGAGGGGCCGGTGATATGGATTTAGAGTCTGTAAGTTAATCAGATAAGGAGAATACTGTGGATTCATGGAGAGTTGTCTCATTGGCACTCATACCACATCTTCTTATTTCTCATTATAATTTTTGGGATACTAATTTTCACTGATCTCATGGGTATAGGTAAACCACAAATTTGAATGTTCAATAAAGGCTTGTATACAGGCTTTGGCACAAATATAAGTTTTCCTCATTCCATGAACTTTGGTATCAATGCAAATAAATGAATCCCCATGAGATCATAACACAAAACTTTTTTCCTTACACAAATTTTGGAGGATGATTTAGGGAAAAAAGAAAGCATGTTGATCTTAAAAAGTATAACATCATGGGAATTTTTGTAGGTCCTGACTGTGAAATTGTAGCTTATTTCTGTTTTCTTTAGTTGACATCATTCTCATCACTTTTTATGTTCATCTGGAAGACTCACCTATTTTTATCTTACAAATGACCATTTCATTTTAAGCTCACTAACCCATTTTTTTTTACAAAAAATTCCTACTTTGAAACTACTGTGCCTATTAGAACCAGACAGCCACGAAATCATTGGGGTATCTAGTTAAAAATTGTGTCCGATGATCTTGTCTACCAACTTATATGGTTGACATGGCTGAAATTAGAATATAGAGGTAAAATGTAAGTTTTTCTATTATCTTTAAAACCTCTGTAGATTTAACCAAAACTGTCAGACGACTCCTTATCGGAGTTATTGCCCTTAAATGATGATTTTACCGTTTTTATTTTGCCTATTAGGTTGAAAATTATGATGGATAGAGAGAAACTTAAAATTGCAAAAGTGATCAGTAAGAAAAAAATCTATAAATAAAAAAAGTTTTTATGCCCCCACTGCAGCGATTAAGATTTACCTTTATCCGTCCGTACGTCCCAAATTGGTTTCTGTTCTCTAACTTAAGTTTCCTGTGACCAAATGTTATGAAACTTATACACAAAGCTTATTACAACAAAACACAGATCAAGTCTGAATAATGTGGCATCACTTTTACCATTCCTGAGTTATGCCCCAACATAAATTCGTTTCCAGTCTCTAACTTTAGTTTGCCTCAACCAAATGTTATGAAACTTATACACAATGCTTATTACGATAAAACACAGATCAAGTTCTCATAGAAAACGCCAAGAACTGAATATGTTTTTATATGCACATTACTCGTTAAACACATATAAACAGTAAAAGATATTTTATTATCTACTTTTTCTTTTACCCCCCAAAAAGAGACATCAATGCTTAATTAATATTAAAATTAGTGACACAAAAGGAATAGAATCTGCATACACAATGATATACATGTTTCATCATGCATTAAATGCAAGAATCAGCCGTAATTTTTTGACAGTAACGTGTTATTTTTTAGATGATGCAGAATATGGGTGGTATGGGAGGCATGGGAGGTATGGATGCAGGTGGTGATATGGTTAGTATAGATATTAAACTAGAAAATGATCAATTTTTGATTCAGCATAGCCAATGGCATCATAGACATTTAGGTTAAGTCTGTGGTTTAAGTTTTTTTTAGAAATCATTAACTTTGTTAAACCTTCATTGAATTTCATGAAACAGGGACAGAAGCTTTTTATGATCAAAAGACAGTATCCATTGCCAAATTTTGAAACTATTTTTTGTTTCAATTTTCTGTTTTCCTTTTTTTTTTCAGTTGAAATGAAGAAGCCTTTTCTCCTTTTTTTTTTTTTTTTTTTATCAGTCAATGTATTGAAATGAATAGTTTTGTAATTCTGCACTTGGGTGAAATTTACCTGATTTTCTGATTTTGACTGTTATGGTATGAAGATATATCTTACACAAAATTTGGACCACCACACAAACTATTCTTAATGTGAGACAACTGAAATTTACTCCCATTAGTTTAGTCCTGAAATAGTCAAATCCAAGGTGTATGGGAGGCAACTCTTGATATTCATCTCATTATAGACAGGAATAACATCAGTTTTAAAGAATGTCTGTCACACAGGAATGCACAGAAGAAAATTCCCATGTTTTCACAACATTTCCACAAACATTTGAGCTATGTTTGGGCAAGTTACGGTGTGTTTAAAAATAAAATATATAACTTGTTTAAGTAATGCCCCTAACTGATATATCTACTCTATATCTGTAACTTGCTGTTATTATACCCCACGCAATGGATTGCGTCAGGTATAATGTTTTTGACCTGTCCGTCAGTCTTGTTCTTGTCATCGCAACTCCTCTGAAACCACACAACAGAAATTCATGAAACTTTGTAGATAATAAGGACATACTATGTAGATGTGCATATCGACAGGAAATTATGATTCAATTTTTTTTCTAGGAGTTATGCCCCTTTGCACTTATTGGCCTCAATATACTACTGCACAGTTTGTCATTGCAACTCCTCTGAAACCACACTACAGAATTTCATGAAACTTTGTAGATAATAAGGACGTACTATGTAGATGTGCATATCGACAGGAAATTATGATTCAATTATTTTTCTAGGAGTTATGCCCCTTTGAACTTATTTGCCTCAATATACTACTGCACAGTTTGTAATTGCAACTTCTCTGAAACCACACAACAGAATTCCATGAAACTTTGTAGTTAATGAGGATATAATATGTTAATGTGCATATCCACAAGAAAATTTTTATCAGTTGACTTTTGTAGAGTTATGAATCTTTGAACTTAGGAATCTGGTGAGATTTTGTTTGTCCAGTGACAATGTGGGGGCGTGGGGTATGTGAGCGTGCTCACAAAGGTTCTTTAATGATTTTGATGTTCTGTTTTACAGGAGAATGATAAGGAATCCAGTGACAGTGATGATGAAGATTTACCTGATTTAGAATAAATGAAAATCCAGTTTTAATGCTACTAGTGACTGCATTGGGGAACAATATACAAAATATGCTTAGAATTCCTCCAAAATTTTGGATTAATTGTCACAATTAACAAAATAATCACATATTTAGATTGACGTATGCAGAAAACAGTTTTGTGCTGCCTCAGCCTGGACTACTAATGTCCTTATTACAGTAAAACCACTCACATTTGTTTTTATATGATTAAATGTTCATTGGACCATGTCAAGTAAAATTGAATGTTTGTTAGTCTTTGTTTTAAATGTTATTTTTGGATCATGTTGTTTTGTTAGAAATTGTAAGAATGTTTATTCACCACAATGATTCATCCAATAGAAACATTTATACAGCCTCATACATACTGATCATTCATTCAACAATACAAACATTCTTCTGATCTTAACTATCATCAACATCGTCATTCTGTTATCGATACTGCAATTCTGTACCTACATCAGTAGATTTATGAGGGGAAAACAAAAGATAACAGATGATGGCATATTACTGGAAATGAGTTATTATCTGATTACAAGTTGAGCTTTATCAACCCCATCAAAGGTTCACTAGTAATAATTAGCAGCAAACAAATAAAAAGTCCTGTGAACAACTAATTTGTATTAATTAAATGTATACTTCTTCTTGAAATGAATAAATATTTAAATTGAATGGTTTTATTTTTTTGCTTTGATTTTCATTTGTATGGCTTTTTAAGAAGACGCTGTAGAAAATTGGTAAAACTTTTGTCAAGAGTAGACAAATATGTTGCCAACTGATTTGTATGTAATTGTTTTATCAACTTTGCATTTCCTACTGTGCATAAAATTAAATCTGAATGTTTTTCTTGTTTTTTTCAAGGATAAAAGGATTTGTACCCTGCACTATGCCTAAGAATTCTTTTCCAGCACATCTTCATAGTGATAAAATTACTATTTTTATATTTTTTCAATAAAATGATGTTATAAATATATATAAAAAAAAGTGGTTGATGTATTGTTTTGCATGGTAGCAATTATCTATTATTTTTGTATGATATGTTAAACTTTTTTACTTTGTTCCAACCCTGCAGTTCTTACAATTGGTCATGTTACATTGAAATGATAATAAAACATATAAATTATTAACTGTTTGTCACTGGCATTGTTCATCCTTGAAATAACTTATACTTTTATAAACTAAAACTTAGATTTATTTCTTTTTTGCTCCTTTAAAATTAGGGCCATTATATAGTCAGCACTTTGCTCAACAAATTCTGGATAACATTTATGTTTGCTGCACACTAAGTTATAACTGTGAATCATAGCTATTTACTATAAAAAGAGCTCTCAGATTTCCTGTTCTTTTGACCTTGAATTGTTAAAAAAAAATGCTGAAGTTATTGGTTTTTGGATGATAGCATACTTCAAGTTGAAGTAAGACTTTTTTGTGCCACATTTACTTTGAGTAAGAACATTCTTGTCTTGCTAGTGACAAGTGTAAGAATATGTGACATAGAAAAGCTAATCTGGCAGTGGCATTTGATCTTTGTAAAAGATTCATATTTTTATTGGTAGAAGAGCAGGATAATTCATATCTGGTATTCAAATGCCATTTGGTCTAAGGTTTTAGTTTAGAATATGTCAGTTGTCCTTGGCCTCATTTTCATGGTTCAATGACCACTTGAAAAAATTAGTTTTTTGATCGCATGATTTTATGCCCCAGCAACTGAAAGTTGGGGGGCATATTGTTTTACCCCTGTCCTTCCGTCCGTCTTTCCGTCCGTCCTTCCGTCCCATTATAGATGCATAGGTATTCCAGATAACTCCTACAGTTTGAATGATAGGAAGTTTTCACTTTGCTGGCTGTTTGTACATATATTGAAGGTGTGCATGTAGTCAGGGTTTTGATTTTTATTGATATTTGCTCTTTTGGGAGATAGTTGAACTTTGTCATTTTTGGAGTATATACTTGCATAAGAGGTGCATGTAGTCAGGGTTTTGATTTTTATTAATATTTGCTCTTGTGGGAGATAATTGAACTTTGTCATTTTTGGAGTACCAGGTATATACCTTGCATAAGAGGTGCATAACGTTTCCGGATAACCCCCTCTACAGTGAACCATAGACCTATGTGCTCATGTGCTCCTATGCTCATCTTTGTGTATTTTAAAATAACACTTTGCATCTGCAGGGACATCATTTGTGTCTCCCAGACACAATAATATCTCAAAGAAAGTCCTACATTGACTGTTCAAATACAGTTACTTCAGAGTGGAGTGCGGGGGCATCTAGTTTTCAGCTATTTTGTATAATATTATAACTACCCGGTACATTTGATATAAAGATCCATATAAGCACATACTAAATGTGTGATCCTATTTACATAAAAAATGGACTTAAAAACTTGTAAAGAACAATATAATTTTGCTTTGTTTTAAACCAGTAAGTGTATATTAATTAGGCAAACACATAATTGTATTCAACTAAATAACTGAAGATTCTGAAATACCTGTCTGTTTTACGTGATATATATAATTGAATTGGTTCCGACTATTAGTATGGTGATGTTTGGCAGATCGGGAGCAGTCTGTACCTGTTTTGTGTAATCAACTTCAGTTTTCAACTCAGATCCCTGAAATTTCACAGAAAGACTGCACATATGTTGGAGTTAGGTTCATGTTATTATGGAATTGTTGAGAAATTTTCCCTCATTTTTTCAGGTTTGAGAATTAAGTAATTTTGTAGCAAAATTTACAAAATATAGCACTTGTTATCTGTCACCAATTCATACAGATTTTCAACCCAGGTTCCTGAAACTTCACAGAAAGATTGCACACACGATGAAGTTGTTCACCTGCTATTACAGAATCGTTTTAGGATTTTTTTCCTGACTTAGGATCTTATATTTATATGTATAAATATATATATATAGTTTGAGATTTGAAGCTGGCCTTGATTTAATGTGAAAATTAGATTGCCACGCATTTCCTGTTGTATTTTATAACCACTTTCTGTATATCAAGTACAACAATGGAGCATGCATAGGGGTATACATAGAGTGTCAAATAGCACTGTTGGCCTAAGTCCACCATGGTTGTATAAATGTTAATTTACATATGACAAATTATGATATTTTCTATCTCGTTGTTATTATTGGGAAATGTAGAAGAATATATGGCTATGCCTCAGACATTACCCTTATACCTGATAAATGAAAAAACAAATTTAATAAATGACATCTTGCTAATATGATTTAAACTTGAAAGGTTTTGGAGCAAAAAACTAATAGAACCTTTTTATTTATAAACACAATTTTGTGTGTGCATATTCTTTCTTGTGTTCTCTTTGAGTGTTTTCACGAAGAAAGAATGTGAAAAGAACCCCTCAGAGATCTTTAAGATGCTTGCTAACAATTTACTTGGAAAATCACATATTCTATCTCTTCCAGTATAATTCCTTCAAAGACAATATCTAATGTCAGAAAACATGTTTTCATGTTCATGGTACTACAATCTTTCGATACTTATATTTTGGCATTGCACAAGATCAAGTTTTTCTCTGACTGTTAATGACGTCTTTACACTAAATCCATTGGATGTTGGATGTGTACTGATTGATGTTTTAGTCTTTGATACATGACATTTTTTATTAGTTGTTATTGGCTTTGAACTAGCTGTTAGTAACTGCGAGTACTCTCAGACTTGTACTTGGTGTCTTTTTTGTTATTAGGGATGAGGGATGGAATAATACCCTGCCACGTCCGGTCTGTGTTTTTATACGAAAGCAGGTAGTATTATGTTTATATGGTGTTGTTTGTGTCTGCGTGTGAAAACATTTTGGTTTGCAGACAATAACTTTAGTATAAGATCATTGATCGCTATGAAATTTTAGCACAAGGTTCCATACCAGTAAAGGATGGTTTGGATTGTTTATGGGGCTATTGTCCTTGCGGTTTTGTAATTGGGGGCCAAAAAAGGTCAGTTTTACTGGTTCATGGATAATAAATTGGTGCGCAGACAATAACATTAGTGTAAGTGTATGGATGTGTAAGAAATTTTAGCACAAGGTTCCAAACCACAAATAGGAGGGTTCGGATTGGTTTTGGGGGTTATTGTCTTAGCTGTTTTGTAATTATTTGTCTGGTTTTAAGACAATAACTTGAGTATAAGAGATATTTCTTTGGTCAAAATTTTAATACAACGTTCCACACCACAATAGGAAGGTTGGGATTTATTTTGGGGGTTATTGACATAGCTGTTTAGAAATTAGGGGCCAAAAAGGGTCTAACAAAAACAATTATTTGTCTGGTTCACAGGCAATAACTTGAGTATAACTGCATAGATCTCTATTAAATGTAAGCACAAGGTTCCATACCACAATAGGAAGGTTGAGATTTATTTTGGGGGTTATTGTTGTAGTTGTTTAGTTATTAAGGGCCAAAAAGGGATCAAAAACAAGCATTTTTCATGTTTCAGGACACTAACTTGTGTATAAGAGTATGGATTTGTATGAAATTTTACTACAAGGATCAATACTTCAAAAGGAAAGTTGGGATTGATTTTAGGGGTCATGGTCTAAACCATTTAATGATAAGGGGCTGAAAAGGGGCCAAAAACTAGGATTTTCTGATATCTGGACAATAACTTGAGTATAAGTCTATTTATTACTCTCTAATTGTGCCACAAGGTGTTATACCATAAAATAAAGTTTGGGATTGATTTTAGGTGTTATTTCATGACCCTAAAGGGACCAAAACCAATACTTTGTATAAATTGCTTATTTCTCTAGCAATTTCAATGGGGTTTAATTCAAAAGTCTTGAATTTTTGGCAGTCTTTAATATGCTGAATCTAATTTGGTATTTAGAATTTGGATTTTAGGGTCTGTTTTTGAAATGATCCATATTAAGGTCCAAAGGGTCCAAAATTGAACTTTGTTTGATTTCTTTAAAAATAAAATTATTGGTGTTCCTTGATATACTGAATCTAATTGTGTATTTAGATTTTTAATTTTTAGGCCTGTCTTCAAATTGGTCCACATTAAGGTCCAAAGGGTCCAAAATACAACTTGGGATTCTTGGGGTTCTTTGAAATGCTGAATCTAAGAGTATTTTTTAATTTTTTATTTTTGATTCGGGTCATGGTCTGTCCACATTAAGGTCCAAAGTGTCAAAAATTAAAATTTGTTTGATTTAAAAAAAAAAATGGTTTGGGTTCTTTGATATGCTGAATCTAAGCGTGTATTTAGATTTTTGATTTTGGGCATAGTATTCAAGATGGTCCAATTTGGGGTCCAAATCGAATATTGTTTGATTTCATCCAAAATTAAATTGTTTGTGTTATTTGATATGGTAAATCCAACAGTGTTTTTATTTTTTTGATTTTGTGCTTACTTTTCAAAGTTGGTCCAAATTTGGGTCCAAAATTAAACTTTGTTTGATTTCTTCAAGAATTAAATCATTGGTGTTCTTTAATGTGCAATCTAACAGTGTTTTAAATTTTAAATTTTTGGCCCGTTTTTCAAACTGGACCCCATAAATGTCCAAAGTATCCAAAATAAAACTTAGTTTGATTTTACAAAACATGAAACAATGTGGTTATTTAATATGCTGAATCCAACCATGTATTAAGAATTTGAATATTGGACCATAATTGGTAAATGTCTAACTTAAAATTATTTAAGAACTTATACC